GAAGGAGGCCGGCGCGGGAAGGAGACCGGCGGGAGCTCGGCTGCGGGAGAAGGCGCTCCGGCCTCGAGGGCCGCCCCGCAAACTTGCCGAACCCCGCTACTGGCGGGAGGAGGGGACCCGCGGAGCCGGAGCGACTTGGGGAGCACTCATTGTTGAGACGCGGGACGGGAGCAGTAGCTCCGAGCGCTCCGGGAAGTCGGCGCCCCGTGCGGTCCTCGGAACAGGCTCCCGGGAGAAGGGAGGTGAGGCTGGAAGGAAGTTCCAGCGGCAGAGAAAGCCATTTTGAGGGACGAAAGGAAGGTAAAGGGGCTTAAAAAGCGCCGAGGCCGGTGAACTTTCTTTACGGAGACTTTCGAGAAGGAGGCACAGGACTTAGGCACGCTTTAATAGTAAAGCTCTCTCCCCGGGCTGGAATTAATAGTTAACATTAGGAGTTACTGTGGACTGGTTACTTCGCAGATAACCTGTTCTTGCAAAGGTGTGAGCCCTGAGCTCTAGAGAGTCACAGTCCTGGTGCAGATGCAGGCTGGGCTCCGACCGAGTTGGCCACAGCCGGTTTGCTGCCTCTGTTTCGCGAAGTGGAAACCTGGGGTCGGAAGACAACTCGCTCTCCGTGGCTGTCTCGATACTTTCTGGCTGGGGAAGGATCTGACGTCTCCTTCCCCCGCTTCTTCCTCTCCCTCCCCTGCCAGAGATCTCCTTTGTTTATTCGTGGTTGGCTTGTAGGTGACTGTAGGGCTGTGGTGAAATCTCGAGAGGTGAAAATACTACGTATCGGTCCATCTTTTTTTTAAAAACCTCAAATCGCTTGCCTTGAAAATAAGATAGCAGTGTATACTCTTTGTGTTACTTTTTTATTTCTTCATGGAGTCTCTGATAATCTACACTGGATAAACACTTGTTTTTCATTCTGCCATTGGGTTATCTGATAAAAAGCATTTACTCTGACGTGTGCATTTTTGCTAAGATTATGATACATTTTATTACACTCTTTCCATGTGAGCATTTAAAAAACTTTGCCTTGCTGGAGTATAGGAAGTTCTTGTTGCTAGGAATTAGAGGTTCATTAACCATAACCTTGGTCCGCCTCATTGGTTATTTAACCGTGTTACCAAATACAACATTTCCTCCCCTTTGGCTGTATGTATATGTTCCATAGTGCCACTTTGCTTCAGTAGTAATCTATACAAATATCCTACACGCTGGAAATTATTCCCCAGAAGTTTTGTGGCTGCACAAATATTTAAATTTCTTCCGTCAAAACAACACTAGCACTGTGGCAGGCTAAATTGTAGTAAGTAATTGGGAATGTAGTTAATAGATGCTTAGTTTTTTAAAGTAAGAGGCTTCCAACCCTACTTACCTCCTGTAGTATAATTGGCTCAGGCACATTTTTGCACTTCTAAACAGGGCTTACTTAATCTCGTAGAGCAAATATTCTTACTATTCATGTGTTTTCCCCAGGTGACTCAAAGAGGGTCCCAGGAAACCTGTGAATGTTGAAGAGGAGTCATCTGTGAATTTTTGGTATTTGAGGAGTCAGCATTTATATTCATCTTTTTAACTGGGAAGATTTGTAGTTTATTTTAAAACGTCTTGATATTTACAATGAATGGACACAGTGATGAAGAAAGTGTTAGAAACAGCAGTGGAGAATCAAGGTAAGCAAGACTTTTAAATCAACTGGTTACCTGAGAACTGAATACATCTGTTTTTAGAAATTTGTTTTAGCTCTTGAAATGCTTAAATATAATAGTTTTGTTGATGTTACAGGTGTTGCTTTTATTCTTCAGAGAGAAGCAGAGAACTTAACTATAGAAGACTTAGATCTGTTTAAATCTGTTGGAGGTTTATAGTGTTTGAGTTTGTTGAAGCCGAAACAAGTAGAGACGTTTAAATTGTTGGACTTTTAGTCAACTGTCTGAATAATCAGTGCAGTAAGATTTTATGTACTCATCTTTATCTGGCATCTTATGTTCTACACCTGTGCTTATTACTAGTACAGTCCATATATTTATAGGCACTTGTATATAGACATCAGTAAATTAGGTGGAGTCAGACTGCACAGTTAATCCCACTTCTACCAATTATTAACTGTGAATTAGGGTAAATTATTTACTCTCCATTCTGATTTTTGCTCCTTTAAAATGGAGATTACACTATTATTTACCTTACTTAAAATGGTGTTTTACATGAGGTGCTTTGTGTCAGGGAATAAAATGTTTTCTGATACAGTAGGCATTCAGTATTAGTTGTAGTCAGCATCATGTTTTGTGTAGTATAGAACACTCTATAACAAGTAGTCACAGTGGTGGAGAAATACAAGGGACAAGAAATAGGAAAGGTGATAGAAGAGTTAAGAAAAGAGAATAGCAAGAACAACATAGAGAATAAACTAAGCAGCAGTGATTGGGAAAACACTGTAGTTGAAACAAATATCTAGAAGTTAAAAACCTGAGTTGAGAGCTAGTGGGATGGTTTAGTGGGTAAAGATGCTTGCTATGAGGCCTGGTAACCAGAGTTCAATCTCTGGGGGCCTACATAGTGGAAGAAGAACTGACTCCCCCAAGTTGACCTCTTTTATTATTAATTTTTTATTTTGTGTGTATGAGTATATTGCCTGCATGTATCTAAGTGCACTAGTGTCGTGCAGTGCCCATGGAAATCAGAAAAGGGCATCAGATCCCCTGGAACTGGAATTATGAATTGTTGTTAGCTACCATGTGGGTGTTGGGAATCAAAGCTGGGTCCTTTGCAAGAGCAGCCACTGCTCTTAAGTTCTGAGACATATCTCCAGCTACCTCTCTCTTTGTTTGTTTGTTTTTTTCTTTTAGTCGAGGTATCACTATGCTGCTCTGGTTGGCCTGGAGCACACAGAGATCCTTGTGCCTCTGCCTCCCAAGTGCTGGGATTAAAGGCATGTGCCACATCCTGTAGATTAGAGGATTTTTGAATTTTAGCTTTGATTTGCATCCGTGTAGATAAATTGTTTGGAGTAAGTAGAAGAATTACACTGCCCATTCTCTTACTCATTAGGCACAATGAAATGGTAAACAAGTAGAAATACATAGTAAATACAGGAACCAGACTACCCACAAAATAGGAAATTACACTCTTGACAAAGTATCCTCTACTTGGCTATCTGGGAGAGCCCCTGTTGGTACCTTCTCACCACTTACCCATTTAGTGCTGCCATATCTCAAATTAGGAGGAATTATAATGCCAATTTGATAGCACATGTGAAAAAAAAAAAACCCCTTTGAAATCAGATTTACTTAAAGAGTGCTTTTATAACTGGATTTACTTTGAAATCAGATTTACTTAAAGAGTTCTTTTATACTGTACACCTATAATCCCAGCAAGGATGGTAGAGGCAAGAGGATTAATGTCAGCCCAACATGGTGGTGCACGCCTTTCTTTAATCCCACACTCGGGGCAGAGGCAGGCTGAGATCCAGGTGGATGAGTTCCAGGCCAACTGGGACTATAGTTGGGCATGGTGGAGAACACCTTTAGTCCCAGCACTAGGGAGGCAGAGGCAGATGGATCTCTGAGTTCGAGGCTAGCCTGGTCTCTTAGTGCTATAGTGAATCCAGGGCAGCTGGGGCTACAGGGGAAACCCTGTCTCAAAAATAAAAAATTCTTTTACTTAATGATGTGTATTCACTGTAGGTGATTGCACAGCTAGTTTCTCTAATGAGTCTGAATCAGTCATTCTGTCACATAGGCTTTTGCCCTTCTGAAGAGTGTTGCTATTGAGCTGCCTAGCTTTGTATGCACTTTGGAGTTTCTCAGGAAAGGAAGGAGCTTGTTTTTTCCTCGCTGCTCTTTTGTTGTCCTTCCTTTTATCTGTACCTTTTGTCATTAACACTCAGTTCCTACCCTCTCAAAACGTTTCATCAAAAGATGGTACGAAGTTTTGAAAAAAGATAGTGCCAAGTTAGAAGACTGAGGAAGTAAACTTTACAGATAAAGGGATTTTTCTTTTTAAAAAAGGCATCACAGTTGTAAATATTAATAGAGAGATGAGAAACATGCCCCATTTTTAAAGTTGGTATACATTGTTAAATAATTTAAATAAATTTGATTGTGTTGGCTAAGAAATGTAAATTGTGTTTTGCTTCAGAATTTCTTTTGTGGAAGCTTAAAAGATGAGATTGTGACATTTTTGGTTTTATTTAGCTTTCTACTAAAAAGAGTGAAGGAGAAGGTTGATTCATCACTTTCTGTATGGAAAGTTCTCTTAATTATTGACCAAAAGAAAGAATACTCAGGAAATAGGTCTTTCTGGCCATGATCAACTGCCAGTTTTGAAAACTTGCTCAGAAAAGTGGGCCAGGATGCACCTGTACAACAGTTTTAGCTTGACACAGTTGTATGTAGCTGAAGCTAAGCTCTCTGACGATACTGGAAGGTTTCCAGCAGTTTTCCACCTGTGTGGACTTGGTTAGTGATCAGGGTCTTCAAACCTTAGTTAGACATTTAAAACTTTTTCATTTTTTAATTTTTGTTGTTTTGGACATCAACCCAATGCCTCACACCTGTTAGGCAAAGTATTGTACCTCCACACAGATTTTTTTCAACTTTTAAAAAAATTTTATGTATATGAATGTATTGCCTGCATGTGTATAAGGGCACCCGTGTCATGGAATGTTCATGGAGGTCAGAAGAGGGTGTTGGATCCCCAGAACTGGAGTTATGGACAGTTGTGAGCTGCCATGTGGGCTGGAATTCGAACCCAGGTCTTCTGTAAGAACAGCCAGTGCTCTTAACCACTGAGCCATTTCTCCAGCCCCATATTTTCGGTTTTAAGGATATTTGGAAGGGTGATTTATTCCAGCAGTGGATTTATGGGGAAATACAGAAATACGTGGTCACCTATTGCTTATTTTTGGATGTATGGTAGATGCTTATATGTAGATAAATCTTTGTCACGCACATTTAAGAATTTCTAACTGTAGTCCTTAGATGGATACATTATGCTCTTGAACAATTTTTACAGAGTTGGAGAAGATGTTGGTGATGGTGTTTTAGTCGTCTCACATAGTCTCATAGTTGCTAATGAAATTCTGTTGATCTGATTCTTAGAATAAAATCTTACAGTTATCTGTGCATGCGGGTACATGTTCTAGGATTTGAGCCCAGAGTCTTGTGTGTGCCAGGCAAGTTTTCTACCACTAAGTAAAATCCTCGACCTAAAAATCTTTATTTTACTGTAGCTTTTTAAAGTGTTAATAATGCTTATATTTGATGTATATGAGTGCTTGCCTGCATATATGTAAGTGTACCACATGTGCAATGCTTGAGGAGGCCAAAAGAGGTCATAGGATCCCCAGGAACTGGAGTTACAAATGGGTGTTAACCACCATGTGGATGCTGGGAACTGAACCTAGTCCTCAAGTATGGTATTAACATATTTTACATGAAGAAGCCCTATGTGTTGTACTAATTTTCCTTGGCTTATAGAAACCACATTTTTCCTTTCTTTACATTTCAAGAATGTTCTTTGGATCTTAGTGTTGTTTTAGACATGGTAGTCCATGCCTTTTAATCCTTACGTTCTGAACATAGACAGGCTGGATCTCTGTGTGTTTGAAGCCAGCCTGGTTTACAATAGCAAGTTACAGGTCAGTCAGCAATGTCTCAAAGAAAAAGGCTTCAGGAAGATAATAGTGGCAGAGAGCTAGAAATAGGATTGATGGACATGTGCTAAATGAAAATTGTTAAATAAATTTTTGCCAATTAAAAAGAAAATTGTCAGTTTACAAATAGAATTTACCAAATTAAACAACACTAAGAAAATAAAGATTATTAGAATTGATGTCTGAGCAAGTAGTTCAGCCATAGAGAGCTTACTGAGAATACATAGTCTTAGATTCAATCACCAGCTCCACAAAAATAGATAAGTAGCTGGTTGTGGTGTTGCCTTGCCTTTAATCTCAGTGCTTGGGAGGCAGAGGCAGGTGTATCTGAGTTTTCGGCCAGCCTAGTCTACAGAGTGAGATCAGGTCAGTACAAGACCTAGCTCAAAAAGAAAGGGAGGGAGGAAGGGACCGGCCGTCTGTTAAATTTCAGAAACATTGAGTCAGTGGGTGGCGTGCGCCTTTAATCCGACAGAGGCAGGTGAATCCCTGTGAGATCAAGGCCAGCCTGGTCTCCATGGTGAGTTCCAGGTCAGCTGTGGCTACAGGGAGACCCTGTCTCAAAAAGACAAAAAAAACAACCACCACCACCACCAAAAAAACACCAAGTCAATGCTAACAGCACCCCCCCCACCACCAATTTTTTTTTTTTTTTCAAATTTTGAGATATGGTTTCTAGCCCCAGGTGACCTGGAATTCACTATATGCGCCAGACTGGTATTGAAGTCAGAGATAGTCTGCCTCTGCCTCCCAGGTGCTAGAACTAAAGGCATGCGATGCCATGCCTAGCCCTTTTTGTGTGTGAGCCTTCATGTCTTTGCCTTGCAAGTGATGGTATTATAGGTGTATGTCATCATGTCTGGCTTCAGATCACATTTTTCACTCTCCTGTAAGTGGCAGTTGAATATTACTTGGTATAGCATTTGTGAAACATTGCCTTTAGTTGTCTTTTTTCTTTTTGATTTTTGTTGTTGTTGTTTTTGTTTTTCTTTTCTTTTTTTTTTTTTTGAGACAGGGTCT